AATTCTTATCTGTACGGTGATTGGATATGCTAGTTGTGCCCTATCCTCCAAGTAGACGGATTTTTTTTTTTTCTCATCCTAAAAGAGGCCTTTTCTGTGCACGATCTAGGCCAAATTTTCACTACTTTCACCGTTTTTTTTTTATGGAACAGTCTTCCTCTGCCAATAAGACAGGAAACATCAATCGACTCTTTTAAACGCTCTGTTAAAACATAAGGCTTTTAGTTAGATTATTTATTTATTTATTTATTTATTTTATTTTATTTTATTTTATTTATTATTTATTTTTTGAAATATTGTAATTTTACCGGGTAATTTTACTGGTTTTTAATTTAGTTATTAATAATATTGTAATACGCTTTTGAGTATTTTTATAGAAAAAGCGCAATATAAGTGTTAAATATTATTAGTATTATTATTTTATTCTTGGCGAATTGTTCAGATTGTTTGTATCCTTCTCTGTAAATGTTTGTAATATTCTCAACTGGTTGCACAAATTAAATACCGTAAAATTTCGAAAATAAGCCCCTCCATGTATAGCCCCCTCCAAATATAAAACGTCGTAAATGAACTGAACTAAGTAACGAATATCGCGAGATAAACGATAAACTGGTCCCCTAAACTCATAACGGAAAAATCCCTCCGTTAAGTCGACCCTCCAAATATAAGCCCCCGGGGGCTTGTACTTGGAAATTGCCCTCAAATTCAAAATAAAACAAGGCAAAAACTGTACAGTAACACATAAATGTTTGTATTTGCCTAAGAACTCTGTACTATTGTTATACATTTTTATTTCTTGTATATTATGGGGTGAAATAAAGTGTTGTTGTTGTTGTTGTTGTTGCATGTGTGCCAAATGATTGTAGTCAGAAATTGCTGTTTGCGTAGTTCACTCTTCACTCTTGGCTTGAATTTCCTTGGTCCATGTAGACAAAGTGCTTCCATGGCTGCGTTTTACAAAGGTCTATGTCCTCAAGGCGAGTTTCAGTAGAACCTTTCTGCAAATTACTGACATAAATTTTCCTTCCTATCATAAGTTAGCCCAACCGATTTTGAGACGCAAATTTCCCTCCAAGTATAAGCCTAGCCGATTTTGAAACGAGAACTCCCCTTCGTATTTAAGCCCCTCCGAATATAAGCTCCTCCAAAAAAAAGCCCCTCAAAAAGGGCCTTTGAAAAATATAAGCCCCGAGGCTTGTTTTCGAAATTTTACGGTACTACCAAAAGGATCTGATGATTGAAATAATTAAAAGGAGAAAAGAACTCGTTGAAGAAATGCACGACAACTGAGTGTCACAAGACCGATATGAACAGTCACGCAGTCTAATAGCAAAGGATACTTTCAATAGACCTGTTTTGAATTTACGAGTTGGCTCCCAACTTCGTTTCCAGGGTTCTCCACTACTCGTTCCCCGTCTCTCTAGCTGATCTTGCTTCGGAGGACGAATAGGAGAGAACCACGGGAACGAGGTTGCTTTGAAATGGAAATTGAGATTCGGAGATGAATAGTCCATTTATTTCGTTTTAATTCCCTCAGAAAAGGACTTTGATAATTCGAAAAGGGCCCGTTCGCCGTAAGCCTGCGAGAGCAGACGCCTTTTTCGGAAAAACACAAATTTTCTGGCACCAATCAGAAGCCAGAACGGCGGCGACCGTTTGGAACTGGTCTGGTAAGACATTGTCCCAGGGCTCTTCTCGCCGTTCTTTACTTTTCTTCGTGCCTTATTTTTTCCGCCCGTTTAGACTTTCCCTCGCCCCCACTATCTGCCCCTGGGTCTCCGAGGATGCTCTGGGGACGAGAATGGGTAAAGGACAACAAATCGATTGCATCGACTTCTCATTTTAAGCTAGTGATAAAAATCATGTACCCATTTAGTGATCCGGGGAGGGGGAGGGAAAGCAATCATGGACAGATGGTAGTGAGGCTGAATTGTTGCCTCTTGATACCGTTAACAAATCTTATATGCCATACCATCATCAAATGCGTCCGTCACTTGGAGCATTTTGTCTAGAAACACTTATTTTCTGTGCGATAAAAAAAAAAAAAAAAACAGTTGCTGATGTCCAAGTTCAGTGTTTGGTAGATAGTAGCGGAGAGGGGAGGATAAATCAAACGGGCACCTCTATATATGTTCTACCCCTACAGTAGCTAAAATCCCCAAGAAATTAGCTTTAACCAGTTACTTATTAGCAGCTGGAGAAAAACGTTAAAAACAAATCTACTTTGAAAGGTGATATTCTTTACATTTCTTTCCCTGATAATGTATATTTCCACCCGGTTGTCGATATTGCATGTGGCTCTTAACAAAACGATGACGGTTTTGTTTAGGGATCATCGAATATACTCTCTAAATTATCTCATGACCTTTCCATGATAAGCAGTGATACTCTGAGAAATTAGAGGTTGTTTGCTATGATTAGACCTAGTCACTAAGAACTGCTGCAATAAATAAGGAAGCTTTACCATTAAATAGTAGATTCAAACAACTGAAACCAAATAAATGTCAGAAGAATGATAAAAATGAAGAAGGAACACATGCTTCAGTTCTAAAACGCTGACAGTAGAGCAAAATTTCTTAACTTCACCGAAAAATGAAAGGTGATTACGTACATTTCTCATACATACCTGTTACTTGTCCTTTTTAAATTCCACGTCAGAAAAAATTGAAGGGAACACAATATCCTGTTGTTACTTGCGGAAGCATTCGTGTTTGGTTAATAAACAGTCGAGTGAGAGGCGCGCACTATAATATCACGAGCACGGTCGAAGCTCACAACGTGAACAGGGCACAATCCTAAGGTCACACATACGCCTAATCATACCGTAAAATTCCGAAAATAAGCCCCGAGGCTTATATTTTTCAAAGACCCTTTTTGAGGGGCTTATTTTTGGAGGGGCTTATCTACGGAGGGAAATTTGCGTTTCGCGAAATCGATTGGGTTAGCCTTATAGTTGGAACTAAATTTCCCTTTTTTTTGCTGTGTTTTACTCTGTAATTTGAGGGCAATTTTCCAAGTACAAGCCCCGGGTGCCTTATATTTGGAGAGGCGATTTAACGGAGGGGTTTTTGCGTTACGTGGAGGGGGGCTTATATATGGAAGGGCTTATTTTCGGAATTTTACGGTACTGAACGTATTTATGGTTTCAATTCCAAATGAGTAAGAAAGAATTGGAAATGGATTTTAAGAAATCGTTTTTGTTGCTGTTTTGATCGAAGTAATGGCGACATAATTTCTTAGAGGCCAGGTCTGAAAACGGGTATGCATTTGAGAGGTCAGATCTGAAAAATGACCTTTTTAGGTCTGATATAGGGTTAGGATTTGGAGAACGGGGCGGCACACCCCCACCAAGAATTCCCAGAGTACCTCCCGGAGGGTGAGTGCTTTAAACTTTTTGTTCCACGAATCCTATGATGCAACGCACCCTTTCTAGTGCCAGGCTTTTCAGGAAAAAAAACAACCTCGTCCCAGTGTCTTTTGAAAAGCGAGAAGACACTGGGGACGAGAGTGGGCGGAAAAAATGGGATGACTTTATCCGTCTAGTGTGAATTCGAGACGAATAATCCGTCTAAAAAGGCGGATAAAGTCAGACGAATTATCCGTCCAAATTGAACAACGGCCTTTTTTACACTTGAGATGATCCATCTTCAAAATCCGTCAAATTGACGGAAAAACATACGGATAAAGTCAGGCGGATTGTCCATGCAAAATTAAGACCGTTCCGTTTTCAAATTACGATGATTATCTGTCTGACGCAAATTATCCAACGGGATAATTCGTCTCAGACGGATAATCCGTCTCTAGTGTGAATACGTTTATCGTCTCGTTTTCACATCTAGACGGATAATCCGTCTCCAGTATGAAAACGGCAATTGTCATTCAACGTAACACCGAACTAGTAAACGGACAATTTCTCAACATTCATTTGCCACTAATCTCATACTGTACTTTGAGGTAAAAAGTACCTTTTAATACCGTAATTCCTTTTAACATGAAGATAAATTAGTGGCGTGTAGGATGTAGTAACGTTAAGTAAGACTATTGAACTGAATTTCAGTCAAATTGAAATTAAGAATAGAGACCTTAAGATCGAGGTTTGGCCATCTTACTGCAAACGGCAAACTATTTTAACTCAGAAATTGTCTTCAAAAATACGTTCCTATGAAAACGAATTGGATGATTAATAAGCGAAAGAGTTCCAAAAAGTAGTATTTCCTCTCAAACGCGGGATTGGAATGTTTTGGGGTGCAAAAATCCTTGCAGTAAATCACTTAACCCTAGAGCGTGCTCATGCCGTACAAATGTGAACCTCAAACCCCAAATTCTGACGGCAGGGCACTGGTCACGTGAATTCTTGACGTTCGCGGTTAGCGGGAAATGCCGAAAAACTTCGATCTTAAGGTCTCTGATATAAAAGCGCAATGTCAGGCAATTTCTAGCTACAACCAAGAGATTAAAAAAAAAAGACATCAAGTATCGTCTTCAACTTCAGATAGGACCTGTATAGTCAAGACTGAAGAAGATGGAGTAAACTTGGAAAACGTCGACTCCACTTTTGGTTTAGTTTCGGGAGATAATCCGGCATGAAAGAGAATCAGAGCACAATATCAATTTTAGGCTAAGTTCTCAAAGTAAATTTCAAAAGCACGTATAATGATAAACTTCTAGAAGGAGGGTGTGAAAACATAGATACAGTAGCAAAGTGAAAAATTGTTACAATCTGTAAAGAAATGGAATCTCCTCAGTCTTCAGAGGTACAGTTTTTCAGTCAGTAGATCGTTTACAAGGAAAGCCGTAAAATTAAATGACTACGAAGACCAAGTTTTAAAGCATGGCACAATATAGCGAAGCATCTTCCATGGCGGGCTTTCCTCGTTTAAGAAATAATCGGTACCACAAAATCATATTTACAAGTTCTTTCAGGTTTTGACTGTAAATCCACTGCGGTATGTTTAAAGTAGTGTCAAGCTCCAGAATAACTATTTTAAGCTGCATTCTGTTCATCGGCGCGTTCGTTTACTGGTTCTTACATCTTCAGGGGAGATCGCAGCACCTCGCCTGGTTCGCGGAGAAGTTGTGTTTCCCGATGGGTTGCTCGAACCATTTACGACCGGAGTCGATAAGGTTGGAGAAGCGGTAGCCGCAGCCGCAGCTCGTGCGCTGGAGCGAGGCGAGGTAGCTGTTCTTGTAGGTGGAGTGTTGATTTCTGTCAGCAGCATAGTGGCCGGACTGGGAGGCATATTGTACTGGGTCGGAGTCATGCCCAAACGCTCCTCAATCATGCGTAACTGGGTTTCAGCCTCTCTGCATTCCCGGTGTTTAATTTTCATCTCCTCCGTTTGTCCGTGCTGTAGCTGCAGCTGTTGGAGAAAAGAGATAGAGAAAGTGTTCCCTTCAAATGCTCCAAGATCAAATTCGTAAATCAGCTAACCGTTACCAACGATTTGTTTTGAAAATAAACTGGCGAGCTGAACAGAAAAGTAGTGAAAGCGGATTCAAATCTTTAAGTTATGGGGTCGCGCTCACCTATACGATAAGAAGGTAAGCGGCCTTAACCCTCTAAGCCCCAATCAATATACACATACAAATTCTCCAAAGTGATCTCCATACATTTCCTTTAAGAATAAGTTGAGAGAATTCAATAAATGATCAAGGCATTTTTCTTTGGCGATCATTTTATTAATTCTCATAACCTCATCTTATGACAATATAGGGATATTGTTAGGAGGAAAATGACGTTGGTCAGTTTTGGGACTTAAAGGGTTAAAACAAGACTCGACGCGATTCAGGCAGAACTTCCCCTTCTCATCCGCTCTCAAGAAAAGAAGACTGACAGCAGGGTGTATTTGTGTACGAAAGGAAAAAAAAAACCAATGCGATGCGCTTCTTTAAGCTTACCGAAAGTTCTTCCTTGGCTTGTGTGTGTTTGATAACGGCTTGTTTAAAAGCTTGTAGTTGTTCTGACAACATAATGAATAAAGAAAAACATTAGAAGCAATGTTGGAGTTATACATTGGTGGTGAAAAAATGAGAAGAGCTTTAGTTGTCACTCACCAATCTGCGTTGTCAGTGAATGGAATGTCAGCGGAAGAGGCGCAGCGAACACTGCGCCGCGCATTCTCTCAAGAGGAGGAGCTTTGTTCTGCAGTCCGCCGAATTTACCTTTGCAAGAGAGCAAAAATATGGAGATTAAAATTCTCACTAGAAGAAACAGTATCACGAGGATTGGTGCCAGCCTTTAAACCCTAAAATTAATACACACATTCTCCACAACGTTCTTCACGCATATCTTACTTGCAAGGAGAATTAACTTCGTAATCAAGACCTTTTTCACTTGCTGATCATGTGCTTTTTCTCACGGTATTTATGTTAGACTAAACAGTGTAAGAATAAGGAGAAATTCTACCTCACCATTACGTCATTCGAAGATCACGTGAGTTTACGCGACCTGCTAGCTCAGCTCGTTATCAATATTTATGTTTGACTAAACAGTGTAAGAATAAGGAGAAATTCTACCTCACCATTGCGTCATTCCAAGATCACGTGAGATTGCGCGACCTGGCAGCTCAGCTTGTTATCGATATTCATGTTTGACTGAACAGTGTAAGAATAAAGAGAAATCTTAAACACTAGTCACTTAAAGGTTAATGGGCTAAACAACTTACCGTTACTTCTGATGCGATCTCCTCCTCTTGTAAGAATCGTAGGACAATGAGTGTGCTTTACAACCTACATTATAACAATACACAAGGGAGCTTAAGCAAAGACATTTCTGGACGTAACACGTCAACCGGAAGTGAAGCCTTTTCTCATTAGAGACCTTAAGATACCCCGAAATCGGTGTACGGGTAACGGGTAGCGCCATGTTTTTTTCATTTTGTGGTGACGTTATCGACCTTACCCGGTAGAACCAGCCGTTTTTCCGGGGTAGACACCAGTTTACCCGTAGAAGATTTACGAGTAGCTGCAAGTCCTACATGATGGAGAAACGAGTAAGTTTTTAAGACTTTTTAAGTACAAATGTAAATTGTATGACTCCTTGGCAATGTTATTGAAAGTCTGTTAAAATATTTTTGCCAAATTTGAATTTTAGCTGTAAAGAAAGCGCTTCAAAATGTATTGATTTTGGACCTCAAATGCGCAGGTTGAACTCTGAAACGATATCAATTTGTGGCGGTATTTGGGGGGATTTCTGAGAATTGCTCGAACGTTTGAGTTACGTAAAAGAAATAGCATTGAAAAATTTAGCATGGGAGTCACTGTTGAAGTTGACAATCAAAGGGATTGTTTGGTGATGTGCCTCGATCAAATGGCGGGGTTTGCGATAACAATCTTTCGGTCGATGGACTGCCCGCCAAGTTTCTTAAAATCTTTCTATGATATTTCAGTAAGCTTATGTATGAATGAATTGTGTTGCAGCTTGTTGTTAAGATATGAAGTGTAGAATTTGAGGAAGATTTTGTATGCATTAAGCGACATGCATGTACAAAGTTAATTTTGCGTGCTTGTTCTTCGGGTATCTTAATCGAAATAGTCACGCACATGAACATTTTACGTGTACGGGTACACTACCCGTACCCGTACACCGATATCGGGGTATCTTAAGGTCTCTATTACCTTGACGCTAACAAATGTGCCTTGTTAAGTCCGTATTTATTCGAATAAGCGCCCAACCTCAAATTAGCGCCCACCTCGAATAAACGCCCACCCCCACTCCACTCCCCGATGTCGGACATCGAGGAGGCAGCACCAGAGAATTCACTTATTGACTTGAGTGACAATGAGATTGAAATTGAAATTGAATAAGTACTAATAAGAGACTTCCCCGAAGACGAAGTTTTCTTCAGAGCATTTTACAGAGACCTTACTTTGTTACATCTTCGCGTTCTGTTATTACCATTTATTGTTTGTTGCAAAATAAACATACTTGACTTGCTGAAAATAGTGAAAATTTAATAAGCGCCCAGGGCAGGTTAATCGAATAAATACGGTATCTTTACTCTTACTGACACGAATTGCCAGAAATTTACTTTGGGAAAAAACTGCTGACCAATGATGCAAAACAGCCACTTCTGTTTGGTGCGTGTCGCTCTAAAACGTCCTTGGTTAAGTTCACTATAGTCAGGCGTAAATCAATAGTTTTCTTTATTGCATTGCAGTCGTCTGTTAGTGGCTTTATCTCAAAGCCACAGCTATGTCTGTAATTTTGCAATTAGCTTAAAGGCTCGAAAAACCCGCCCCATCGTCGTTCAAACGTTGGACAGCGCTATCTACTGGATAAATAAATCTCTGTCTAGCGAATAGGTATAAGGGAAACCAATTGAGTTATCCACTGGACGGTAGCCTGGAGCCTGGTGTGGATTCAACCCTCTCCGAGCCTCTCCCGTTTTGAATAGGGCATAACAATCCCCACAGGCTAAATGTAAAAATGTCACGTCGTCACTAGTACATTGATGTTAAAGGAGCTGAGTCATGAATTACGTATCAAAATTCTAACAGTAGAAACCGCCACCAAATTGAGTGAAACATAAAAATACCGTAACCGCTCAAAACATTTAAACAAAGCATTAATGGCACAGCAAATACAAAAAGAGGCAGGGGCGGACAAACTCAGCTGAGGAAGACTAAAACGGATTGCAATTGCCGATTTTTGAAAACTTGTTAGCCTAACAGTTTCCAAAGTTCATTTTGCTCGTATTTAACGTTTCATATAATGCTTGAGAGACATTTATTTGACGAGAAGCTGTGATTTTGTCGTTTACAAGAAAAATTTTCCCCTTACGTTTAGTTTCATTGCGCACAAGGAAGCTTGATTGGCAATATTAACAACATGAAATAGCCAGCCGTGGCACAGCATTGCCGGCAATGTTGGAACAACGTTGCAACCATTTGAATCAATGTCACAACAATGTTGCAACGCTGTCTAGCGCTAAAAATCGTTGCTACGAATCGTCCGATGTAACATCACTTTGAAATGCATCATCAACAAGTGTACTCACCTGTTGTCTGTATTTATTTGCACAGTCCAGGTCATCTAGGATCAGTGTATCACCCAGTAACATACCGAACACTGCAATGAGACAAGCAATGAATCAAACCCGAGGAAAGTTTCAAAAAACATGCAGAAAATCCCGGGAGCGTACTCAACAAATTTTTATACGGGGAGGCTACGCCCCGAGGTCCAACCCCTTACCCTTTTATATACCATTTTTCACGAAAAAGGTACCCCTTTTTAACTGCTGCAAATGCATTGTCCTTTAAGTAGGAATCAATCACAAAAATAGAACGTTTTCCCGACTTTATAAAGCCATAACACTGAAATTCTTCTGTTCTGCCCTTTGAGCCCATTCACAGGCCCAAATGACAGATTTCCCACCACTTTCATATAATTCAACTGGTAAAATCCCAACCCTTCCATATACCTGAAGTCTGAAAAAGGTACCCCTTTCGGGCGGAGTCTCTCCGTATAGGCCATTATAGGGAGTACCCCCTAGGGCAGAAAACGAGAGGTGAGTTGAAAAATGAGGCATAGTGACGTCAAGGTTATTTGGATTCCAAATGAAAAACTCTTTCGAGTGTTTGATTTAGGTGTCGCAATTCATGGTATAGAATTTGTCTGTTTTCTCGATACATTTATTTGTTATTGAGTTTGAGGAAAATTTTTGACAGTCACGAAGAACTTTGTATACCCCAGACAGCAAAGACGTTTCTAGTGTAATTTCTGGTGAAAGTGACTCGCGGCTTCGGTCTGTTACCGACATCGAAGCACCCCGCCGCACGCGAGGAAAATAAAAAGACCTCTGAAACCCAACAAGCATTGGTAGATGTTCACGGAGCATAAGAGTGGTAGTTCCTAAACCCATAACAATGTATCTTGACAAAGTTATTTCTACCTCTGAGCGTGGAATCACTGGAAATGTCAACAAACGGGAAGTGGATGTTGTGCATTAAGGGGGACTGTTTCCTGGGATTAACGTATTTGTACCCTACACTAGCCAATGTTTAGCTGCCTGTTTGGAGAAACTGTCGTCCGGCTAATTTGGGGGAAGGGGGAGCATGTAACTGATTCTTGCCGTTTACGCTAGCTTGTTGCAACTAATCACGGAGCTCCACCAATGGGTATCTCTTTGACAACGGGTAAGCGAAACGTTCACCTTCCTAAACAGAAAATTCATTTCTATTCAACGTCCCTCAGCACTGCTTTCTTTCAAGCAAATTACCTTGGCCTTAGAGAAGTTCTCCATTCAAGAACTTATCGAATGAGCCAATCTGCTTGCCACTCGCGCATGAGATTCCGCCGACGCCTCTCGAGCGTTGGCCCAACAGTTGTTTTTAAACTAGAGAACATAGAGCAGGCCAATGATTATCTAATGGTCTATTGACGCACAGGCCCTACAATAAGTACTCTTGCATACACATTCGTATTACCTAGTTTGCAATTTTCCGCCTCTGTTGGAAACATCAACATATCTCTTGCGTACACAGGGTTACCAGACGGATTGTAACTGCCCTGACCTCGTATATGTGGAAGAGCTCTAAAATTAACAGTCAGTATTGATGGCTACTCATTGCTAAGCTACGCTAAAGGCTTAAAACTCTGAGGCCACTGGAAAATTCTTGAGCGTGCTCACTAGCATATTCACAGGCCACTGCTGACATGTCTGCAAGCATTGCTAACTTTTTCTAATGCACTGGGGGTTAATAGCCTAATTTTCACAAATTCAGGAAAGAAAAATCACGCATAGGGTCCTACGGAAATAGAGGGTTCTATATGAATTCGCCTACAGATTCAAAAGATAGATCACCATTATATGACATCACAACTGACTACGTGAATGAATGAGAGTGTAAGCCAGGTTAAACCTGCAGATAATAGTATAGTACATTTTAATGTAGTAGAGTAACTCATAAAACCGGGCAGGAAATTTTATAAACTTGATCGGCACTACTTGAGCACTCCCTGAATTTTCTTTGGGTTAAAAAACCAACTTACCGTAAATCCTCAATTAAAGCCCCTTGGGGGCTTATTTATTCAAGCCCATTTGAGGTGGGGAGGGGTTAGAGAGGGGGGTTATCTAATTAAGAAGAAACGATGGTATCAGTTCACCATAAAGAACTAGAATACAAAGAGGAAAAGTTCCAGTACAAGACGTTGGAGTCATGCAGCCGAAAATCAATAACAATTCCGAACTTCTAGTTGGTAAATAAACCGTCCTGGATCAGTCCACACGATGTTTTACTGTCGTGACTGATTAATACAGTCTATCATTAAAATAATGAAGAATAATAAGCGGAGGGGAGGGGATGGAGGCTTAAAGAGAAGGGGGCTTATTAACTTTCTTTCTCTGAAAAGGAGAGGCCTATTAGTGAGAGGGGCTTATTTGAGAGAGGGGGTCTTAATAGAGGATTTATGGTGTAAAATTGTTAAGCAGGTTTGGGTTTGAAAACTCCTGAGAGACACAGCGTCTATGATAACTGGGTTTAATTTGGTCTGTACCTATTCCATTCTGGTAAACTACGGCTGAAGATAGAATCCAAGGGTAGCACTTGTTGCTGGCCATTAGAGTCGCGATACACTTGTTTTGCCTGAAAATAAACAGTCACCCGTGTTATTCAAAAAGGGACAAAAAACTAGATAAATGTTACTGGTTATTTTAGAGAGCTACAAAAGGACTTGTGTGGAGGTCATGGAAGTGAGACAGTAATAATTATTACCAGGAAATAAGCAGCAGAGGAATTTACAGTTTTGTGCCAAAATATTAGTCGTTGACTTCGCCCGTTGATGTAAAACATTCGCTCATGAAATCAGTGTGCTTTCGACCAGTAAGGCAAATACTTAAGTTACGGTTCATTCCTGAGGTAACACGGAAGCCTTTAACTCGATTGATTTTATTAATACCGGAGGAAAATAAAAAGAATTCGACCGTTTAAACAGGCAAGATTGTCCGTTTGTCAGGAACTTGAACATTCAATCGAGCGCTGTGCGGATATACTACGTCATATAAGAAGACCTCTAAGATAGTCATGACCAACGAAAGTAAACGTAAAAGCTTCAGAGGCACCAACAGGCATGGCCAAGGAGTTGAACTCAGATCCAACTTAAATCAAAACCAACCAGTGCCGTGTGGCTACATATGCACCTCATATTTCCCTAACAGAAGCTCCGACGACAAGAAGATAACTTCTTTTATAACTCGAAAGTGCTGTCGTGTGAACGAAGGAAAGAAAAATGGAGGAAACCTCGCTTCCTCTCTTCCCCTTATCAGCATACACCACGTACGTTTTCTCCCCTGTGTTCTACTCTCCGCTAGGCCTCTGTGGAAAAGAGGGGACCTCTGGTTAAACCGAAACCAGCGACCTCTGGACTTGAGCTTGGTACTCTAACTACTCCCTTAGGGTGGCTCGATCCTGTACCAGGATTACTCCTTACCGATGCTAAGCTGCTTGCAGGGATGTTTTGTTTTCTGAGTTCTCCTCTCAGCTTCTGTTCTTGTAAAGAAGCTTCATGTACTGACACTGTAATGTACAAAAAATAAAGGTTATGGTTCAATTATAAAATTGGTTGTTCAAATCTTTAAAAAAAGCTGGTGTTATCAAGTTTCAATTCGCTCTGATGACGGGCTAGCACTTAATGCGTCAGCTTTTGAATCTTTTTATGGAGGAACATTGACTTAATGAGTAATCTTTTAAGTCCCAATATCCACGTAAGAATTCTCTCTACAGATCTCCATATATTTCCTTACAGAATTAGTTGAGAGAATTTGATAAAAATCAAAGCATTTTCATTTTGATGATCCTTTTTGTTATTTCTCATAACCTTTTCTTTTGATTGTGCATTGATATTGTTAGGAGAAAATTAATGTTAGTTACTCTCGAAACTTTAAGGATAAGACAAAATTATTGCGTCTCACTCCCTCTGTGGGCGAATGTTAATGTGGTCGACTGCAAAGAACCAAAAATAAGCCACCAACCTTGCATCTCGTTAATGAGTTGTCGCGTAGTTTCAAAAAGAAGCCGGTAGGTGCGTATCGTCTCAAATAAATGATCTCTTTCTTTTGTCAGCTGAGCCATCTGTTGCTGTTTCCTCACATCTAAAAGCAAAAAAGTATAGTACTGTTTATGAACTATGTTGTGTTAGTTAACAAAATACCTAACAAGGTGGAAAGCAAGTAAAAGGAAGTGATTTAGAGAGGTCAAACGACGAATAAGCAGATACGTTAATCAATGAGTGGAAATTACACACTTCTTTATAAGAACCGAAGTGTACTTGCCATTCTAAAACAAAAGGTTGAACAAACAAAAAGAAGTTTTTTTAAAGTTAATCAAGAAGAGGGAAATAGGAATTTAATAGTTTACAGGAAACCGAAGTGTACCTGCCACTGTAAACAAAACAAGGTCGAAGCTGGGCTGCCACTAAGAGCTAGGGGCCGGGGATTTCCCCCAGCTGCTATGAATGTGGCCCCCAGCTACTTTCATTGGAAAAGAGAAGAAAAATAGAACCAAACGAAATCCCTAGCTGTTTGATTTCCCGCCTACTTGTTGTATTTACCCGGTAACTTGAAATCTTAGTGAGAAGCCTGCACAGAAAGAACGGGCACTTGTTATTTTATGTTAATATTTATAAGGGATGGGAAAAGTAGCACCACAGAAAACCGCAGTGTATTTGCTACTTTAAAACAAAAAAAGTCACACAACGAACAAGCACATTATCGGATATCCTTTAAGTTAAGGCCTGTTTACATGGAGGTGGGAGATCCCAGATAGGTGAGGTAACATGCGGCGGGTCACCCCACTTATCATGTAAACGTGATCAAATTAAAATGAGAGATTATATGGACAGGCGGGTTACCCCACCTAAGCAGGTTACCTTACCTACCTGGGGTCCCCCGCCTCAATGTAAACAGGCCCTTAATCATGAAGAAGAAAGTCACCACTACAAGAAACCAAAGGGTACTTGCCATTGTAAAACAAGAATGCCAATGTAAACACGGGAATAGGATGAGGCGAAGAATTAGGAGGAATCTGAGTGTGAAAGTTCCGCAGGTATTCCTGTCCGTCTTTGCCTGCAGTGTTCTCTTGAATAAGGAGGTTCTGTACAGTGGCCACGCCCTTGACCAGGGGTACCTCCAAGGAGTACACATTTCCAGTCAGAGCAGGGATCTCGTCAATGCCTTCTGATGGTGTTGTTACCTTGACAACCACCTTTCCTTTCAGATTCTCACCAGTCAGGTTATCAAATTTGTCCTAAAACAAACAGCAGAGTGAGCAATCTTGTCTCAAGGCTGCCTAAGGCCACTTTGCTGATCAACAAATGTTTGAGCTGTTCTTCAACAAATGTGTATCAAGCAATCTTGAATATTGAAATGGACCTTTAATTATGCACGCTGAGGGTTTTTTAACGTTGTTTAGAGATCAGCAACTAACGAGAGCTGCAACATTAGTTGGTTTCAGATCAGAAAAGAGAAAAATGCCCTACGTTCGTTATGTTAAATCCAAAACATAAACAAACAAACAAACAAACAAACCAACAAAAAACTTATATGGAAATATGGAAGAAGAGCTGGTTAGTGAAATTGGCAACGAATTCCAGATTGTTGGTCCTCGATAAAGGATACTGAACTGCTTGATATTAGTTCTACAGAAATGAGGTCTATGCTGAAAGGCTAGTTGAGTTTCACAATGGTGAACCTGACTATTACTTAAAAAGAGGTTGCGAAAGCTACTAGACAGAAGATTGTGGTGATACGAATACTTGATTTCAATTCTGTCAGGTCTTTGATCACACCATCACTTCTATTGTTAACACTGGTCAACATGGATTCAAACAAATTACGAGACATCGACTCTTGCACTTTCATCACTTTGTAAACGTCCTTCTTGGTGACATAATCGTCATCGCCTTCGTGATACGCTTCACTGACGCCGTCAATGGACTCATCTTTTTGTTGTTCATTTTTTTCTTTTCTTTTGCTCATTTTCATCTTCAAAGTAGCAGTGCTGCTGAAATCATGACTAGTAAACTACGGACGAAATCTTTGCAGCCAACCAACTCTGCAACTCTTTTCCCAAAGTTTACACAAACCAGTTTCTCTACAGAGTTAATGCTCACCAACGCTGGCCTACAATTATACGCACGACGTCGCAAAGAACTGGTAACTGGTAACAGAAGATGTGGGACCATTTTTGCATTACAATGAGGAGAGAACACAACCAAAAACAGTAAATATTAGTACCTTAAGTTGTAACTTGAGTGTCTTCACCGGGGTTCGGCTGTTGGTCCTTTGAGTGTTGGAAACAGTAGGAGTCGCAGGCATCGTCTCCGGTTCAAGCTTCACAGGGAGACCAGCCTTTGCTGTGAATGTGATCTGCAAGAGGGAGTAAGTGAAACTCTATGTTAACGAACATAGTTGGCTCTCACTATCATTAAGAATTGGGAAGGTATTTAGCTGACGAGGCCAACGAACTCTTCGAACGCTGGGTAGTATACATTTCTAAACACAACTCTCCTGCACATATTCTTTTACAGGTAATAAAACTGATTAACTTGTACAAAAATGAAATGATTCTTCTGTAAAATATGCCGCTAAACGGAAGTGCTTCTTCGTAAGTGAACAGGTTTAAGGTGCAATAGAAGGGAAGAAGGTCAGTAGCTTTTCAGACATGGTCTGTGATTGCAGAACGAAACAACAGATGATTCAACACAAACAATACCTCTAGCTCTAAAACAAAAGAAGCTACTGATTATTAGGGCCAATCAAAATAGAGGTCTGGAAGAGCTACTGTACTAATCGGAAACGACTGTCGTAAGCTGATGCCAGATTGGTATTTGGTGTGTTGTGCTCAAGTTAGCTCTTCCTTACGTTGCAGACAACAGAAAGACCACAAGGTGGTATTCGGTGTGTTTCGCTGAAGGTAGCTCTTCCTAACGTTGCAGACAACAAATAGAAATTTACAGATAAAAATTCAAGTTCTCTTCAAAGTAATGTTATTACTAATAGAATAAGGGTTTGTGCAAGAAGTAACTAGTAATGAAGACTCCACGTAAAACAAACAATGCTCTCACCGGTTTACTAGAGAGTGTGGCTGCTCCTGCAGATCCAAACTGCACTACCATACAATAGCCACCTGACATATCTGGTACTTTGAGGTCCCTAGTGAGTGCAGTTTACAATATATGGTTATAAGAGAATTCACGAAAAAAAATTGCATTGCTTCCTTTGAAAACTACTCAATCAACCATACTTCAGTTGATATTATTGCGGTCGCTGCCCAGTCAAGATATAAATAATCTTAGGGCGCTTTCCAAAAGTCAGAACCGACCGGCTGGACCATGGCCGGACCAGTCATTTTGACAAAGCAATAAGCTTTTTCCAAGAGTTTTTGCTGAAAAACCATCTCCTTCGTGCAAACTATATCTAGCTGGATATTTTTGATTAAAAGTGAAATTGTCATTACGACGGGAATGGTCTGGCCGGTCAGTTCTGACAAATGGAAAGCACCCTTAGGTCCAAGAATGCGACTTTGTTGGTACTGGCCAACGCACTGTGTCTACCAACTGACTTGGCGACCGAGCCTTTCAGTCGGCAGCTCCCAAACTGTGAAACAGTCTTCCGGCGTAGATAAGAAACATTCAGAGCCTTACATCTTTTAAGACAGCTCTCAAAACGTACTTTTTTAAGATAGCTTTTAATCGACTTTTTTTTATTTCACCGTTTGTAATGCGCATTCCATTGTATATGCGCAATATACATATTATATTATCATATTTATTCGTATTCTTCTTATTATTATTACCTGAAGTAGAATTCTCCATCTTTATCCGTTAACTTCCGCTTTGATGGGTACAACGTTGTGGCCTTAACAAAATTACAGTATAAGTAAAATGTTAAGCCTTGGTGGTTTCAATTAATAGCGGCATTATGCTACACCGTTGTGACCTCAGTACGATAACAGTTTAGGTTATCAACAATAGGCCAGTCATTTTACCACTTCTGAATCGTAACCAATCCCTTCTGATGTGGATATGCTAAGAGGAAAGTGCAGGGGATTTTCTCCGGATACTATAAACATTATCCCCGGCAGTGGTGGATCCAGGGGAGGGACCCGGGGGCCCGACCACCCCCCCAACCCCCACCCTCCGCCCTTCCCATATTTTTGGACCAAACTGAGGCCCGAAGGGCCGAAAAAAAAAAACTTTTGGGAGACCGCCCCCCTCTTATCTAAGGGTCTGGATGACCACCCCCACCCTCCCCATCTCAAGGTCTGGATCCGGCACTTCCCATACGAAACAAAAGGAAAGTAGGACATAACGATTTCCTTGAAGTTCAATTTCCCGCCTACTGATTGCATATAACGTCAACTTGAAATCTTGGTGACAGCCCTGGACAATAGCTCTCGGCTAGTTAGTACCTAAGAATCTTGACACTTACAGTGTATGTACATGTATTGTGAAACCCAGTTACTATGTGATGTGAAAGAAAACAGGCTAGTATAACATACCCTGGCTGGCGGCTTGTCTGATACTGGACCGTCCTTAGAGTGCCATATCTTCAACACTATGTCCTTAGCACTTGCTGCTTTCATTACAGCCTCGTCCTCTCCAACGACATGGGCTGAAACAGCTGAAACGCAGGACAGTAGGTTTGTTTGGGGGACAAAACATCCCCCAACCTGAACCTCTTATGCTAACACCCACCCAAGGAATGAGTCAATCAAATTTTCAGGTAAAAGTGTTTAATATATCAATGTCCTTACGTGGCCAAACTGCTTTAAAGTTGAATTTGTATGGTAGAACTCAGATTCAGGTTAAAGTAAAATCCTATAGATCTCCAAACACCTGGAATTTGGTCACACAATGCTGAGCGCAATGCTTAGAAAGACATAGCCAATTGTATTAAACCTCGATATCCACCCACAAATTCTCCAGACTGATCTCCATACATTTCCCTTAAGACTTAGTTGGGAGAATTGCCACCCTGTAGGTCTGAAATCCCAGAGGGTGCTAATCGAACAAGTCCTTGCAAATCACTTTCCGTTTTGGATGACAATTCCCTATAGCTAATATCAGTCAGATGCTGCTGAAAGTGGAGAAAAAATCAAAGCATTTTCCCTTAGTTGATCATTATCTAAATTCTCATAACCGTTTCTCTTGATTATGTGTTGATATTGTTAGGACAAAATGGATCTTGGTCACTCTTGGGGATTAAATGGTTAAAATGCAGAGTCACTAGACAAAGTATTTGACCTGCAATGCAGTCTTAACCCGTCAGTAGCCCCGTCTCGCCTCTCTCGCGTGGGGTGATTTTCACGCGCGCTCGCGTTTCGCTCGCTCTACTATCCCTGAGGAAAAATGGGGACTACTCGTAGTCTAGACTCGATTATCAGTCGCTGTTCGGTAACTAGGGAGCTTAAGCAACGACGACGCCAACGATGGAGAAAACATCACCTAAAACGTGAATTCACGCTGTTTCAAACTTCATTGCTCTTAACCCAACTATTTAATTTGTCAAATGATGGCTAATTTTTCAGGAGTTGAATTCTAAAGGGCTGACGTACGCGCAAGGTTGTTGTTTTGCCGATCTAAACCTTATTGTTTTATGCCGTTCTCGTCGACGTCGCCGTCGTCGTTGCTTAAGCTCCCTAATGAGCTTGCGACCTCGACAGGACCCGAGATAGCGGCGGAAATCCAGCCTATGGAAAGCGCAAGTTTTGACGGAAAAACTGGAAACCCGTTTGCTTGCTTGGGATACACTTACCTGCGCAACAGTCCTACCAGACTACTGTCAATCTAATGGTCTCACTTACTTGGTAACAACTCTCCAACTACACACGGCGCATTAGAATCAAACGTGACGTTAAGATTTACAGCCTTTGATGGGTCAGGCTCCACTCTGAAATGCAAAACATATAACAACAACAACAACTTTATCATTAGAATATGACAGTGCAGATGTAACTACCCGCAAGTAGCTACAGCTAGTCAAAGCGGGTAGGTACCACAGGAAATTACAGTATCAAAAGCACCAACTTGAGAAAAGCGATCGCAAGTAGCTTTGACGCGTCCGACTTCTTCCAACGCTAGCGCTAACGTATGCAACATATTCACTCCTAAGCGATGTACTAGCTATCTCCGAAAATGGCAAAAGCGAATTCAATAGCCGATTTGATCTCTACCGTTTCCTTTTGCTTTAAATGCCACGTTCAACATCTCTATTGATACAAAATATTGAATATTTTGGCGAATAAACAACAATTTTCCATTGACTTTACTCTTACAGACCACAGAGATAACGTGAACATCTTTGATACGCTGCAATGAAACAACTGGAGTGCAACTCGCAGTTCCACTAAAGTTTTAAACATTTTGACGCCATTTCGGAGGTCTAAACTCTCACAAATCAGAGCTCTCGACCAAATCCGTGAGTGATTGTGAAATGTGTGTTAACCTGCTTCACAGAACTTACCTCACGCTTATCGTAGGCGCATCCAATGCAGTTCTTCCAAGCAGGGCTTTGATTCTTATTCCATACATTCCCCTGATTTTCAAACACACGTTTCCGCGAGTTATTTTACAGACTTAAATTATGACCGAGGAAGAGGTTGTTCCTAAGAAATGCCAAGGTTGGGGCTCTTAAAGTCGACGGATATCTTTTTGATCGGCACAAAGTGTATGCCGGCATTTAGTGCCCTTTTTAGGGAGGTGTTCGTCTTATAGAGTCAAAGGAAATGAACGAAGAATGGTAGCAACCGACTCTAGGTGCATGTCCATTTTAAGGAGGTGTCCGTCTTAAACAGATTCAAAGAAAACGACTAAAGAATTGCAGGGACCAACTCTAGGTGTCCGTTTTAGGGAGGTGTCCGTCTTCTACAGAATCAAAGAAAATGAATGAAGAACGACGGGGACAAACTTTAAGAATTTTAGGGAGGTTTCCATCTTATAGAGAGTCAAAGAAAACGACTAAAGAATGGCAGAAACCGACGCTTGGTGTCCGTTTTAGGGAGGTGTGCGTTTTAAAGAGGGTAAAAAAAAATGAATAAAGAATGGCAGGGACCAACTCTAGGTGTCTGTTTTAGGAAGGTCTCTATCTTATAGGAAGTCAAATAAAATGACTAACAGGGTGCAAAGAAAGTCAATTTTACAGCTTGCCCTTCGGGCAAGCTTTAACTAACATCTGCTAGCCCGGAAATCATTTTTACTAGCCCGAAAAAATTTTTTCGCGAGCAGAATGAAATAACATTAACTAATTATTCCTTTGTTAATTGCACTGTAGGTTAATAAATTACTGGCTTCATTTATTCATTACAATCAGCTGTAGTTATTTAACAAAACCAATAAATAACCGTAAAAGTGTGAACTATTAGTAGACCTGGTATGATACTCTTGACACACTAGTACAATAATTCAGTGTTCACTTTTTGATTATAAATGCCTTTGTCTTCAAAGTCAACTCACAATGATGAAAATAATAAGTAATTTAAGTGAAGCTAAAGGAATGAAGGTCCAAATAACAGACAAACGTTTTTCTTTGAAAAAAAAAATGCCAAAAACTACCTATTACTGGTTAACCTCTTGTTAAAATGGCCAAATACTCAAGCTTCTGATCTGTAATGCTTTGAGTTCAACGCAATATTCACTCCCGATGTCTTCAACTAGTTTTGCTGTTTTGCTCTCGGCGCTGCCACACTGTAGAATTTTTTCTAAGTCCACCGGAACACGTGAATGATTGACATGCATTTTAGACATTTTACAATTTAGAAAAACATTATTTAAGAGAAAAAAAACGGAGTTGAAACCGTGAAACCAAAGTTCTCAATCGACACGCTAAACAACAACGCAAAAAGCTGCCAGTGAAAGCGCTTCATTCTGCAATTTGCGGCCAAAAAAAATTTCCCGCGGGAGTATTTCTTAGCCGCTGACAGGGGAGATGTTTATATTATTAAAGGGCATAAAAATTTGATAGCTTTCATCAGTTTGCTTCTCATTCAAAAGTAGTGCATTCAGAGAATCATTTGTCTGAAGAAGGTTTGTTTGGCAGTCGGCTTTCCAAGTCGAGTTTCAAGTTCAAGGGAAAGTGGAAAGTGCGAGTGCCGAGTCACGCATCAGTGAGCAAATATCATGCAAACAAAAATTATGCAAATTTGTCGTTCATCTTGTTACAACTAACCGAAGGTTTTAGGTTTCAAAATAACAAAAATCTTTGTTTCATTTCTGGCAACTTTTCATCTGAAAGATTTTCGTGAAAAGTAAAAACAATATGATGTGGTCTATATATTTTAATCAGCAAACACGTATAGTATCGGTGTTTAGAATTTACCACATTGAAACGCACGTGTCCAGTATTTGCTAAAACCATAATAAATTTCTCACTGGAGTTCAGGATCAAAACCTTTTGTTTACGTTCCTCGCAAGTGATTATGAAGCAAAATTTTGACAAATAGCTTTCTCTGAATCAGTAAGAATTAGTCACGGGCAACATTTGCCTCCAAAGTTTTTTTCAATATCTGTTTTACTTTATGCGCCTCGTGTGACATGTAATGTGATACCTCGTCTTGTTAACGCAGATTTCACTTCGTCGGAGCGACTTTCGGTCCGCAGGAATTTATTAGGAATTTAAAACATTTGTCTTACGGTACTTCTGTAATTTTAATTCTCCGAAAAATATTCGCTTGCCCGTCGGGCAAGTTAAGCACAGAATTCACTAGCCCGATCGTAAAATCCACTAGCCCCGGGCTGTCGGACACGACTTTCTTTGCACGCTGACTAAGGAAAGGCAGGGACCAACTCTAGGGGTCCCACTAACAGAGGCGTCCGTTAAGAGGGAATTAAAACTGCCGAGTAGCAGAACTAAGAAATGGTGTACAAAGTAAAGAAAGCTTCTCTTTGACTCTAACGTTCATTAAGGGCTGAGGTAAGAGCTATCAAGTAAGAGGCAGGAACACGGGCACAAGAAGACTTATGTTCATATTCCACCTACTTGGTTGCGCTCACAGTAGGTTGACCAAACGTTGCTTAACCCTTGCTGTCAGTCTTCTGCTGAGCGGGTGCTGGAGTCAACTGAAAAAAAAAAATAAATAAAAAATACCACAATTAGAAGCATCAGTTTGCATAGATTTATATAAATTTGCATAATCAGGTGCTCGACGCACTATCGATAGAAAGCTCAAAAAATAAGGCAGTAAAAACGGTTCAGTCGCAACATCGACCAGATCTTTTGAAGTGCAAGAAAAGCTCGCAGATTACATAATACAGTCGAACCTCTCGACAGCGGCCACCTTAGGGACAGAAGAAAGTGGCCGTTCTGGAGAGGTGGCCGTTATTAGGAGATAGGGAGTACAACATGTTTATTGCGCTACTAAGTTCATTCTTATTTTATTGTATTACATAAAGGTAATCCAATCATATATAATACATAGAGTTAAAATACACAAAAAACTTCAATATTGCTTTGAATTAAAATGTTAACGTCCCAAAACAAGCAAGGCTCGCAACATTCGCTACAAGTATCGTAGACAATTTATGCTTACTGCAGCAGTATAAATGGATCACAATCAAAATACGATTGCCACGATTAATCACCAACGCGCCATACGGATCAAACTTTATCACCATTCTTGACTCTTTCATCGGTTGCTGAAAAAAACTGGCCGTTGTCGAGAGGAAATAGAGACCTTACGAAACTACAACGGCGACGGCAACGGGAACGTCTAAAACAGAATAGTTTTTATGAGCAAAACAACAACTCTGCACGTGCATCACGCTTTTTGTATATTTCTTTGCCGTCCCTGCCCAACTACGACGTGAAATGACCAAATTTTGAGTTGACTTGAGAACGGGAACGGCAAGGCGATACATTTTGCTTTCTCTCTCTGAATTCGGACGTGGTCCCCTCTCTTCAGTTCTAACTTAACTTCCCTACTTTCAAGTGACTGAGTGACTTGGTATAAGGGCGAAAAAGTTTTAAAGGACGCGAAGTCTATTTCTCAGCGACGTTTTCATTGGCGTCGCCGTTGTCGGATGCGACGGCTATGAAAACGTCACTTTAATTCGTCAAATGTGGGCAATATTTTTTGGAAAAGAAAAGGAAAGTTGTTGTCTTGTGTTCCCGTCCTCAACAAAACGTGAAATTAGGCACTTTCACGTTGTTGTCGTGCAACGACGGTTAAGAAAAGTATAAAAAAGCGTGATGCACGTGCAAAGTTGTTGTTTTGCTAATCTAACCTATTGCCTTTTTGCCGTTCTCATTGCCGTCGTCGTCGTCGTTGCTTAAACTCCCTTATTTTGGAACTTGGAAACACGCTTTAGTGGCCGTTGCCGTTCATGAGAGGTTTGGACAAGAGTCAATCTATGGACTGTCTCCTGGGACAAAAAAAGTGGCCGTTGTGGAGAGGTGCTCCTTAGGGACCTTAAGCAAGGACGACGACAACGGCAGTGAAAACGTCGCCAAAGAAATGAATTTGCGTTCTTTCAAACTTAATCGGGTCTATTTGGACCCGGTCAAAATGTCAAATGCAGGCGATTTTTCCTGGAGTTGAATTCTTCAGGAGCTTATTCAGGTTCAAAAAGAGGAAGGAAAATTCGTCGTCCTATGTCCACGTCCTCCATAAACGTCAAATTAGGAGGTTTCACGTCGTAGTCGTGCAGTGGACGCCAAATAAATGTACTAGAAAGCATGATGCACGTGAAGAGCTGTTGTTTTGATCATTAAACTTGTTATTTTTTGATGTTGTCGTCGTCGTGGTCGTAGTTGCTTAAGCTCCCTATTAGTGGAGGTTCGACTGAAACAGCATTTATTAAAAGGAGGCCAAACAATCAAAGGCTTGGTCAAATTTTAATTGAATAACAAAAACTGAGATTCCCACCTTAATTCCTCTGTCCGTATTAAGGACCACCTTAACATTAGGTTCATCTGAAGGGTTTTCAAGCTTGTCGCACAGTTGAACAGTAAGGGGAAATGGCATCTTGGTATCGTTAAACACTAAAAGTGGCTGTAAAACAAGTAAAACAAATCACATTATGAACTCGAGTTTGTACAAGAGCAGGCTTGATAACGCTTAGGAAGCTTCCCAAGCAATGTTGTTTCGCACCACCGCAAGTCAGAGGTCGAGGCAATCTCAACAAGCACTCTAACTTCGTGTGCTTTCCAAAAGTCAGAACTGGCCGGCCAGACCATGGCTAGACCTGTCATTTTGAAAATTAAATAGGCTTTTTCCAAGAGCTTTTGAGGAAAAACGATTTCCTTCGTGCATACTATTTAGAATTTGACTGATCTGGCTGGATAGCTTTGATTAAAAGTAAAATTATCATTACAACGGGAATGTTCTGGTCGGCCAGTTCTGACAAATGGAAAATGCCCTAACTCACTGAGGAGAGAAAAAGACTTTATACACAACATTGTTGTGCATGAAAGTGTTGTTGAAGAGTCAAAGAAGTCATGGTCGAAATGTGCTTATGCCTCTTAATCCGGCCAATGTCACGCGGGGCTCCAAGCTCCAAGCGTCAATGGGACGCTCTTTCAGTGGGTTTGGGACTCG